ACTCAAATGACCAAAAAAAAAAGATTATTATCCGCGATTGCAGCGCTCTTTTTTGCTGTTTGTATTTAAACCTCCACTGCTATTGTTGTTGTTGTTCTTCTTCTTGTTGTTATTTGTCAAACCACTTGCTCTTTCGCGCACCCTGTGATCGCCTCCTTGCACCATCAGCACCACTCGGTAACGACGCTGTCAAAACTACGCGAAGGTAATTAAATAAAATTGCACACCAATATGGCGAACGCAAGGACCTCCTTAATTGGCCCCCCTCTCCTCCGAGGACCTTCAGGCGCTCCTCCCAGACAGCTCCGCGCCAGGCTGCTAGAGTCAGCGGCCATGCTGGGTGTGTCAAAAACATCCGAACGCGGCCGGGGTTATTTTTCTTCGTCACCGTTTCAACTACCAAGATTGTGTCAGTATCTTACCTTTCTAGAGGGTGAATGGTCGCATTATTGTTGCGCAGTTACTCATTTTCATGAGTTTGAGTGAACTGCTGCACAATAGCTTCATACAGTGGATTGTCTTATTAATATATGCGGACGTGAGCTCCGCGCTCTGCCACTCTCAACATGGCGGCGCGTCAACTCTTCCTCCCCCCGCGCGGCCCGCGATAGCAAAGCGCCGATTCGCGCTAGATTTTAAACTGGCGAACACGAGAAGGGTGGAAAGTGAGGAGTCCGCGATAAATAATATCATTACAACCTCAGTAGAAAATACACGTGACAGTCCTGAAAAATTAAAGTAGCTTGTTCAGGGATACTTTAGAGCTGTGAAAAAGTTATTTAAAAAAACCAACTAAATCAGGCTCTTTTTCGGACTCCTAAATCTTACATTCAAACCAGATTGAACCGGTTCCGTGTCGACTGAAGTAGGAAGTTGCTGGAGTTTAATTTCGTTTTGGAACGACTTATGGAAGAAACCACAGCCTTTACAATGTCTGTTGTTTTAGCTACGCCGTGAATTTTACACACTCACAACTGATAATTCACATTAGTAGATCAAAGATTTGGGCTCTAATTAAAATAAACGCATGACTGGATTCTGGAACGTTCTCAGTGTGACGTCATTTAAGAGCTGCTCAATGACGCAATCAGTTAAACCAGTCTTAAAGGTACAGTTCCTCCGAAAAAAGCAGAGATTCACTTGTATGTATAGTTTCTCGGTCCCCCCTTGTCTTCTGATTTTAGTTCTACTTGGCATTTATTTACTTAATCTTACTAAGCCCTTAGTTGGTGTATTTTTAATCAGCTTTTTTTTTTAGCTTAGTCTGTGTACTCACTTGTGAAACAGACATACTTTAGGTCTCAAAGGAACAAGTTAAACGTTTATTCCATGCTGAAAAGAGAAGAAAGGGAACACAACGTTTTGGCTGTGGAGCCTAATTCAGGTGTGAGCTTCTGACCATTACTCTGGGTGGCATCAGAGTC